TGGCAGTCCTGGCATGCCTTCTAGCCTTACTGCTGGGATGCGATTCATCCAGCTGGACTGCCATGCTCTCCACACTACCTCCTCCAGGTGTCAGTTCCCAGGACACTACTTGCAAAACAAGTTAGCAGGGAACTCCTTTGTTTCCTCTCTCCTTGCTACCCCTGCTAGTTTGATGCAATGGTAGCAAACAGAAGGTAAAGTGCAGAAAAATGCTGACCTTCAGCAGTCATTGGCCGTTCAGCAGTCTGCCAACAGTGGCATCCCGTGTTTGCCCACTGCCACAATTTCATCTGCATCATCCTCCCCAGGTATTTATTACCAGTGCCCTCTCTACCAGCCTTGTATGTGTTTCTTCACGCCTTATGTCCCTGCTTTTATGTCACCTCACCAATTTTTGAATATAACTTCATCATCATCTGATATCCTAAGCCTTCTAAGCCTACTTCCAGCAATCCATGTAGCAGCCACATGGCTTTCCTAGAAGACATCTGGCCGGCTTCTTTCGCAAAGTCATAGTATGAAACTTCTCACACAAAAATATAGTCTCTTAACATTCTATTCATAATAAACTTTGAAAAGATTGAATCTGAGTATTTAGCATCCCTCTATTTAGATGGTAAGATCTTTTTCTGGAATTGTTTTTTTCCCTTTTACCCTTAAACTCCACCAAATATGCTCCTGCTGCTTAACAATAATAATTCTTGTGCATGTGTAATTAAGAGAAATAAAACATGTTACTCTTAGAAGAATGCCTAAAGATGCTTTTAACTCCTGTTTATAATATCTCCACCATCTTTCTCAATTTGCATTTCATTAGATGTGTCGGTTTCATGGACATCTTTATTGCTTGTCTTGATATGTCAAGTTTTTAGTGTTCTTAGTATTATTTATTTAGTATTATTTTTGTTTTCAGTATTTCTAGTTTCATTTCCGGTATTTTGCAGCGTGGTGTTTGGAAATCATTATGGACCTTTGTAATTTTTGTAACTAAAAATGTCTGTTATAGAGTGATGATACCAGGTGTTTTAATTAAAGCTTCTGATACATATTTCTGCCCCATGCAACAAAGCTCGATTTTCTTATAGTTTTTACAACATGGGATGTGATTTTTGAATGTCTGTCTCACAAGATTGATATAAACAGCGGTCGTTGTTTCTGTTTCAAGCAGTAGCCAGAAGAACCTTCAATCTAATACAGTTACTATTATTATCTGTTTCTGTATCATTTCTGAACAGTATTTGCTATTTCATTGTTACATAAGCCTTTACTGTTAGACAGACCTTCTAGCAGATGGGTTTAAATTTTTACTTGTATTGTAATTGTAATAAGTATTGCTTAAAAGTGGTAACTTTTATTTTTTATATGTCAAGGTTGGGGTTTTGTTACTTTTTCTTTTACCATTACAAAATTTCTGTTCTTCACTTTACCACTGGGAAATGTTTTATACATGTTTCCAATATACTTTTTTTTTTATTTCTCAAAACATAGTCATAATACTGGACTGTGAAAAGAAGAACTCTTTTTCTTTTTTTTAAATATGTTACAGGAAAAATAGGAATAGTTCTTGAAATTATAGATCAGGAATTCCTAGTCTTTTCTATGCAGTTACACAGTATTGCAAAGACTGTGGATTCTCTGACATCCTTCCAGTTCTGTGACCCAACACTTTTTCCAAACAACTTCTTTTCCCCTTCCCCCATGCCTGCAGGCTTGTTCCTCTTCATTAACATGCTCAAACTTAATGTCTTCCATCTGGCAGCCCATCCTTTGGCAGTCTAAGGATCTTTTATGGACATATATATTTGCCTCTAGTTGCTGTAGCTATAGGTGACGTACAGCAAATTGCAAATTGTAGCATCCAGTATGAAGGTGAAGGCACCGCAGCAACAGTTAATAGGGAATGGATTTCACACCTATGGAGCTACTGTCACGCATGTGCCATCCTGACTGGCAGTAGGGTGAACAAAGTCTTGCCATCCAGGATAGTTAATAGTCAAAAGTAAAAGAAAAAAAAAATTCCCATCCTCTGCTTCAGAGCTGTTCTCTGAGGATTTAACTGAAAATGTTTTCAAGAGTTATCTTTAACAAGCCTGAGCTATGAAGACATTCTGCAGAGGCAGGGAGGACTTTGCTGTGCAGGCTATCTTCATACTCCTCTAAATTGTTTTGGTGTCAGAACACTACACAATTTCTCCTCTAAAAGAGCAATATATGGGGCTACCTTAAACACATTATTAAAGTTCTGTCCAAATTATAGTCTTTGTCCCCCACAATATGGAAGGGATGTGTGGTATGGTAGCAGAGGTACTACACAGAATTGTGGGCAGCTGTGACTTTTAGAGCAACCTGCTCTTGGGAGACTTCAAAACTGTTTGCTGTAAGTTGTATCAAAGACCACACTGGCTGTCTGGGTTAGCATAAAACCACTTTGCCTTTCCGTACCGTGCAGACCTTTAACAAGATAAAATGCTTTTTAAAGTAGGAAGATGTATACAGTGAGCCACTAAATGGGGGCAAGTGATAATAGTGGCAGTGGAAGAGTTTGTAATCCTTCAGTACGTGTATAGGACTTTTTCCGTTATAATGTGTATATAGAATGTGGCACCTCTGAAATTTTGGATTAAGTTCACAAGAAGCACACTACTTCAAATAAAATGTTTAATTGTTAGTAACTTTGTAAAACAACTGTTCCATACCAGCCCTCACTTATTCTTGAATTATGCTGAAGGTTTATATTAGATTATGTTACAGTTTGTAAGGAAAATACCTTCAGAGTTCAGCTCATCAAGCAGATTTCTTTGGGTCACCTGTTTTAGAGTGCATTTTAAATAACTATTCAGTTAAAGGGGTACAAGTATATTGCCTTTTTGAAGTATGTAGGAGTAGCTCATGAATGAATACTTTGAACTTTTGGTTCTTCAGAAAATTTTCATTACGGTATGCATATCTATGGAGTTTTTCTCTAGAACAAGCTGGATTAAAAGTGTCAAAACGTCATTGGTATAAGATGTGGAGGAATGAGAAATTACATATAGTCTAGTTGGCTATGAAAATAAGAATTATTAAAAATATATTATTCATAAAAGTAAATTGAAAAGTAAATTGCTGAAATGTTGTACTCATCACAGAAATAAGTTACTAAAGTGACTTGATTTAGTCACTTCTAGGAAAAAACAAGTTGTAGCAGGAAGGGATGTGGATGATTTGTGGATATTCTCTCTTCTAAGGTTGTCTTGTGCCTAGTGCAGTCTTAGAAAGTGTAGTTCTGCTTGAGTTACTGCCACTGTTTAGAGCTACCTAGAGTCTACCTAGAGTCCTTAAAAATCTTAAAAGTCTGAAGAATATCCCCAGGATTAGAATAGAAGTATTTCTAAAGTATTATAATCTTCCCAGCCTAACAGTCTCCTGCGGAAACAAATAGTTTCACAGTATACATGTGTTTAACAGAGTTTTCATTATTATCTTTACTCCTGTTTCATCATGACTTACTCTTTTAGATGGAACCAAAAAGGGATTGTTGCTTGCCTTTCAAAAAAAATCCCTATGGTAAAAAAAAAACCTTTACAATTTTCTTCCCAGTCATCATTTTAAAACATGATCTTGAACTGCACAAGGAGCCTTTAAGGTCTCTCTTTTAAACTAGAAAGCAGTTATTTGCCCATTTTTCCATTCATATCAAATAAGAGTCAAGGAAATTTAGCAGTTGCAGTAAAACTACTCGGTGCTCAGTGTAGGAGAAGAAATGACGGGCTGATACTTTAGGCTAACATGACATCTGTGAGCAAATACTGTATGCTAATACAAGTACAAAATGGGCTATTTTACCTAGCAAGAGATAATTGGTACTCAGGATAGCAAGATATTTCTGTCTCACAACATGCAGGCTGGGCCGTTAATGCTGCATCTTCCTCCTGTGGGAGCTCAGAATCACTGCCTCACCTGCATGCAAGACACTATGAATTGCTCTTGGTGAGAAAGCAGCTCCCACTGCAGTCCTGAAGATGCCTTCTTACTCCTAGTAGATAAATAAAGCAGTGCCTCTTCTGCAAACTAGAGTAGGACCTTTAAGCAGACTCAAGGAGTTCATAGTGAAAATGTCATTCAGAATTCAAACATTTGACTAAAAACTGATGGTGTGCAACTTTTGAAAATTTGTAAGTGGCTGGAAGGTATGCTACTCCATCTACCCCCCTTCTTGTGCTATGCCCTCCAGAGCTGCTCCAGGTGAAATTGAATTGAATACCAAATGATTGCATATGTGTGTTTTGAGTTGAATATAAACAATGGCTTATATCATTCTGTTGAACTTTAATATTGCTTTTGAACATAAAAAGGCAACGTAACATGAAGATGGCCATGGTTGCTAATGGCTTGTACTAGCTGGAAGCTATAAAATCATCCTAGTACTCTGTTAGTGCTGGAATAATAATTTACCAAGACAATTACCACATGGTGGAATTTTTTTGCTGCTCTAATTCAGTGTTATTAATAATGAATAAAATTGCAATTTTCTCAGGTTGCTAGGGGCAGTGGGGAATTATTTCAATGAATATTTCAGCACATTAGTTTAATCATAGTTCCACAAAATTCAAGTGGGCAATATTTTATACTTCTAAGTTCAGTCTGCTAAGGGACCATAGTCATTAAATTGCAAACTATTTGCGCTGAGGTCCATTCTATGATTTACAAGCCTTGTTAAAAACACTGTAAAAGAAAGCAAGCTGTGCCATTAATACTTGTAATTTGATGCTGCATTTGTTAATGGGCTCAGTGTGATTAATGTTTTTAGCAGCAGGCAGAACATTTTGAGACAGGCAGCGCTGAGCTTTATAATGTATAAATGCATGTAAAGAAATATTAGAATATTGCATGTTTTAGTAATATGTTTTTACAAGATTGTATTCCTGAAAGTGAAAAGTAGCAGTGAAATTATACTATAATATATGTAAATACAATTCAAGCTGTGGTAGGTGCTGATGTGTATGTTCTTTATTTCGTAGCCAACTGCATGACTTCTGGCGCTTGGATTACTGGGAAGATGATTTGCGCCGGCGGAGGCGATTTGTTCGCAATGCTTTTGGGTCTACTCATTCTGATGCCCTCCTAAAAGCTGCTGTGGAATATGGTCAGTACTAACTCCTGCTTTAAAATATATATAGTGATGTTTTCTTCATGTCCATGGATGTCTGAGAATCATATCACTTATTTCCTAAGGACAATTATAAGAATTTCTAGAACATATTGTTATAATGGGAATTCTTTCAATCCTTATACTTTAATGAACCAGAAGACTTGAGCTTGTACGCTGCTAAATTTTCTAATCCCCAAGGGATTCACATTATACCTCTCTAACATTCCCAGACACTAATTTTAAGCCACTGGTAAAAGTAACCAAATTTGTCTCCCCTGAGTGACAGAATGAAACTGTTAGGCCATCAAACTAATATTTCATAATAGTTCAATATAAAACCTTTCATGAATGAGGAATTAACTATTTTTTTTAATATCAGATATTCTACCTTGATATGCATAATCTCACCCCAAAGATATTTTTTCGCAAATTGTAAAATATATAAGTACTTGTTTGAAAAAATATATCTTAAGCATCCTTAAAAGCTCTGTTTGTGAATCAGATAGTGTGCTGGCCACACAGGAACTTCATTCTAGGAATGTCAGGATTAGAAGATATTTGATTTTCTTGGAGGGATGGCTGGGGTAGAAAAGAGGAGCGAGGAACATGCTTACAAATTTCCTTATATCGTCTGAAAGTTTCATGGGTTTTAGTGACCTCTGGACAGCAGACCGAACCTGGGTACTTGAAGAGTCTAAAGCAAATTTATTTCTCAGGTCTGGGCCACGGTAGTTCTTTAACGTATGAAAGACAAGCATTATTTTAAATATTAAGATATTCTTCTGTCTTTTTTTTTTTAATCTGTAGTAGTGGAAAAAACATACTCCTGATGTTCATTAGTATTTATGCAGGAGTAAAATTCTGAGTCCTTATCATATTTAGAAACCACATATGAAAAAAAAATGAGGAAAAGGAAGTAAATTTACACAAAGCAAGCTAAACCTTTTAGCTGATATGTAGCCAAAGACTAATGGTGCTGAAAGTTCTGAATAAGACAAGTGCAAAGTGAAACCTGTATGACTTACACATGTCACTAACTTTGCAGATTGTTGAAGACAATAGCTGGGATTCAAGCAAGATTAAATATATAAATGAATATCTGCATGTGCAGTTATACCAGATAATGTAATTTAATATTTATTAACACGTGAAGGCTATCATGTGCAGAACTTCAGGTCATAAACTGTTCACCAGTTAGGGGTAAGGAAGAAATTTTCCCCAGTGGTATATAGTGTTGTACATTTGATGAGATGGTGGAAGGTTATTTTTTCCACATTATTCCAAAACATTAAATACCTATCTTGTCAGAGACAGATGCAAAACTGTGCTAATTGCTGTATTCCTTCTGTAAGGCAAACATTTATCACAGCAGTAGGCTTTCTGTATTATACCAGCCTAAGAATTCTTAAGAATATTCTTATTGCTTAATATTTTTAATTTTGGATTTTAAGTTAGCATTAAAACAGGAAGAAATCTGATTTATAAACTATCACCAAGTTTTAAGAGTCGATACTATCTATTTTTAAAATAAAGGGAACTTTCTATTTGCTTTGGTGGACTTTGTTTCATGCCTTTGTAGTAGGAATATTGTGTATTGTCTTTGCGATAAGATTGTGCTTAGTGAATGTTGGACAAGGTTTTGGCTTTTCATGAGAATTATTATACACATTGCACTTAAACAGGTTCAGCTTGTTGCAAAAATTGCATCTGTTAATGTAATGTTTTGTGTTCTTCTGTCTAGTATTTTTGTACACGTGACTGCTGCGTTGTACTAGAGCTAGCCTGCAAGGCAAGGCTACAGGCAAAAGAAAATGAAGAGCTAAAGTAGTTAAGAGTTTCATATTTTTTCCATATAATTTCATACCACTCACCCATTAGTGCATGAGGTATACAGGAAAATTCAAGCTTAGACGTTTTTAGAGGTGGTGCGTATCAGCCCCATAGATTGAATTAAAAACTACCACGGTGAAAGTTGTCTTGTTTGCAACGTTAAAATAAGTAATTCTGAGTATAACTTTTCCATATATGTATTAAAATTAACGTATGGAATTTTAAAACAGCATGCATTAAAGTTTTAATTCGTGGATCCTATCTAGATGTACTTACTCTTCAGAGGCTTAAGCCTTTGAATTTTAATACTGAAACTTTTAGTTGACCTTTCTCTGTAAGAAAACATCCTTAACGGTGATGTTATTTTTATGCCTCTTGGTGTTACTAATGAGTTGAATAATTTATGAGGTTGTCATGTGAAAAGGATTTGGTGCAGTTTGATGTACTTTTAGCCTCTGGTGTTGGAATGTGATTAATAAAGAGCTGGAAGCAGATTTTTTTTCCATAGGGCTTAACTTTCGTTGTATTTTTTTATTAGCTTTGTTTTGATAATTTTGTTTGGAACAGTTTGATAGTAAAATGCCGCTAGCTTCCAAAACTAAGCATGATATCACAATACAGAAAGAATTTGAAGCATTTTTTTGAATCATACTCCATAGTTTTCTAGTAACAGATTTTTTCCTGGACTCAGATATTTTGTTTGTGAGGAATAAGCTGTTCGTTACAGCAAAATTTGTTGGGCTTTTGTTACATTAATAGCAATCTTTCATCTTGACTGGTACCTCTAGCACAAGAAAAGCTATTTTGAGCATCAGTAAAATAGTGGAAGCATCTTATAAGTTTTTGTTATCTACATTGACTGTCAGTTATCATTTAGGATTTTGTGCATAAATATTGCAGTGGAGGAACGTTTAGTCAAAGCCTAAGTCAGCAAGCTCCTCAGTGTCTACGATCAAAGGCATCAACTTAAATAGGTCTGATCAGGCATTGCAGAAGAGGGCAGGCAGTTTCAGCTGAGCAAAAATCACAGAGCAAAGATGACAAAATTAATCAGTCATTTCTTTGGCAGTAAATAATACGATATGCTGAGGATTGCAGATGAGAGAATTTCCAGGTTCCTTGGAGATGTGCCTGCTTAACACCTGATTTATCTAAGCTTGTACAGCCATCAAGATATGACCTTGATAAATAAGAAAATGCTCTACATCTACTCTAGAATTAAATCAGAGTTGATGCTGAATGTATGGATACTGTAATTATATAATACTTTCCATCATCAAGGAATAGAAAACTCTTGGAAATGAAAACTATGCAGGTCTAAACATATGCTTTAGAGAAGTAATAACAAAATGTTAAATTCTACCTTTAAGAAGATAAAAAGGAAAAAAGTATTAAGTTACTTTTGGGTGATAAATGTCTTTTTCCTGTAGGAAACGTTATCTATTGTTTTTAAATACTGATTGACATACTTGGAAGTAGTATGATTACTCTCTCAGAAGATTTCTGCTACAGGGTGCATTGGTAAAGCTTCTATTTCACTATAGGCTGTTAGTCAACCATTGTATGCATGTTCAGATGTCTGTTTTTGATGAAGTATGTATATATAAAAATGAGTGAAGTACCCGGTAAGTAAAAATATTTCAAAACTCTGTGAAAAATTCTAATATATTCCTATGGCTGTGTACTTAGCTGTCCTTAGAGACTGTAGGATTATCAGAGTTATACCTACTGGAGATGGACTGGAGTATTTTTCCTTTTGGATGAGTCTCTCACATTTCTAACTTTTTGATACTAGGCATTAGATTTGTTTATAAACTATCAAAACAAATTTCACATCTGGATGTAAAATTCAAGCATAATTATTTCAACATTCTATCTGCTGTGCAATTTTGTTTTAGTCAAATTCTTATTTGAATAGAAAAGTAGATTCATTTCTTCCTTTTGTGAAGCTAAAGGGATATATTGCAGGATCAAAATGCAAACTATAAAGTGAGATTTTAATCTATCTGGAAATTTTTAGTAGAGTTTTCATTTTGTAATGTGAATAGATTTTTAACTATTCTTATTTTAAGTTTAGATGTGGTTTGAATGTAATTGATTACATGGTAGCTTAAAGAGAAAAGAGGAAAATAGAGATTGTGCAAGAGGTTATAGACACTACTTCTTTTCCCCAGATTTTAATATGAACAAATACATAACTAAAATTCAGTAGAATATAATGTTGTCATGAAATATGCAGATATCGCCCAATACACAATGGTTCTATACATGTGGTGAAAGAACTGTCTCCCGGTTAATCGCCTTAACAGTTTACAGTCAGTGAAGATTAGTACAGATGAGCCACTGTTGTACCTCCCTGGACAGTGAAACAGAATACTGCTCCACAAAGGTCATCTTAAGAGCAAAATAGGGAATTTATTAAGCTTTAGTCTGTCAATCTTTAAAATCTTTAACTGTGTTCCACAAACCGTTTTTATGTCAGAGGGGAACAAGAAGGCGGTTCTCATTTGCAGTGGAGAACATGGACATGAATAACTGAGTTCCTGCATTTGAAACATATACAAATGATCTATATTGTAGTATCTGCAGTACAGATGCATGTAATCATGTATCTGTATCTGTATGTAGAAGTGCACAAAACTTCTACTGTTTGTGCTCAAGAATATTTGGCCGGTTAAATTGACTATTGTGACAAATCCTGAATGCTTAGAATGAGAAAAGAATACCCCTCATAAAGTAATATGTAATACACTCATTTTTTGGAACAGCTACAGATATATCTCAAATGTGCAATATGGCAATTGCTTTTGAACTTGCATATTTTAGGTTACTCATTCTGTTATATATTTGGACATCTAAATAGCACCCTGATTTCAAGAGCTGTTCTAGCTGAAGCAGGCTATATGGCTCCTTCTGGGACTTGTCATTAGTGCTGCAAGTGTCAGCAAATGTCTTGTATGCTCATCTTTTGACATACAGGTTGATTTCAGTTATGCAAACAGAATTAAAGAGCATCACTTTCTGGGATTTGACATGTTTGAATCTGAAATCTGCTTTCATGGAAGCAGCAGGAGTTTGATCAGCTTTCAAAGAAGTGCAGGGAGGATTCCTGGCAGGCTACTGAACGCCTTATGTTCCCAGACCATTTAGCTTCGAGCAGGTCC